TATGCCCCTCAGAACGATATTGTGGGAACGTCTAAATAACATTGTCTTTCAATTCCCTTTATAATGATATAAAATTAATGTACTTCATTTCAGTAGTTTTGAAGATTTATTGATTTAAAGCTTAAAGTAGATTTTAGTAGGTACATCAGATTAGTTTGTACTACTTTCAGAAGAAATTTGATTAAAATGCCACTCTGTAGGAAGATCGACGCTGAATTCTTTACTAGAGCTTATTTTCAACATTATAAATCATTCCTCAAAAGTCCCCATGAATCCAAGTGGAGCTTTTTTATGGGGGGTTAAAGTGTTGTAATTAAAAAAAAACAAAATTTTCACGTCAAACCGTATTTTGAAATCGTTTTCTTTTTGAATGTTTGTGGAAGGGGCTCTATAAGTGTCCCCTGTTGTGACCTAGAGCTCAGCTGGCCCTTGTTTCTTTGTTGTATACCTGACACTTGTAACGCTTCCTTCCCGCAAAAAGTCCAGAAAAGATGGAATGCAATGAAGATTCCAACTTTTCTGCACAATCACAGAAAGGGGGTTACCATTAGCTTCCGGTAGCTCAGTCGGTGGCATGAAGACATCTACAGGCATGTAGCTGTGTGTCGACCATGGCATGGCTAGAGGATAGAAGAACAAACAGAACACAAAAATTTAACAGATTTTATTTAACAAAAAAAAAGCATTTCCATTACATTACAATTTTACAGTTTTAAAGAACAAAATAAGTTTTACATCTTTGGCGCTGCTATAAAACTATCAACTTATCTTTCGCTGGTCCATTTTGACTCGACTGAAGCGAGGATGGCCAGGTACTTGAAGTGGAGGTCCCAGTTATCAGGGGTGACCTCACATATAGTGACTTCAGAACCAGTTGTAGGCGAAGTTGAACTTAAAGGCGATGGCGCTGCCAAGGCACATGCATGGGTGAAGTGATAGGCCAAGCAACGCAAAGTCAAAGACTAAGGCAAAAGGGAAAGGGAAAGAGAAAGAGAAAGGGGGTGGCCCCAATCATTTTGTCCTATACGGACACACATTCTACAAAATTCTAGCACATGGTGCTATATGACCTTGTGCTACAGAGAAGAAAATTCTTAGCTCTTGTTCGATCGGCGGCTCAAGTGAAAAGGAAGCGCGAGGAAGATTGCAGATCAGGAACTCCTCATCAAGCGGGCTCCAAGCGGAAAATTTTCCAAGTAAAAAAGCTAGAGATGGGATTAATGAATTGCGATTCTGAAATGATAATCGAGAAGTGATTTAATAAATACAATCGGACGGTGGAACCGTTACACACTGGGGCATTGACATCATTTGACCAGTCTTCAGATCAGTATTCTGCTATTCTCAGTTGTATACAGACGCGTCGGATAATTTCAGACAGTTTCTACGTGATATTATTCACGTATTGATTGAAAAATGGCCGAAAACTGCATCATTTGCGACAAATCGCTGTCAGACGGTATTAAAACCTTACGTGACGCCAGTATCGACCGAAATGATGGAAAAATTACATTTTTGCGGAGTGTTGAATCGATCAGAGTGCAGGTGGGGTGTCGCAAAGAATATACTGGTGCAAGTAACATTACTGCTGCTAAAAGGGACCGCTAGCCCTGCTCGGCGAAGAATGCGTTCTATCGAGATGTTACATATTATGATGCTATTTTTGATTGTTATGTTAATTATTTACGAAGTCATTTTGGTTGGAACGTTACGGTTGTTTTCGACGGTGATAAGAATCAACGTAATAACACGAAAGCAATGGAACAACAACGATCAGCAAAAACCGGTACATGCACAGAAATTAATGATAATAATAATAATAAATGGCCTTTATTTTACCTGGCGGGTTACATCAGCACAAGCTGTTTTTCAGAACAAACCAGGGCTAAAAAAAAAAAAAATCAAGTACATGCAAATACAACAAAAATACATTGAAGATAACATTTAAAGCAGAAAAAAAATTTTTTTTTAACAGAATCGTAGCATGGTATAATGACCAAAAGACCAAAAGAGAAACGTGCAGCAACAGAGTACGTAGCAGAATCAAAAACCGTGATTAGAAGTAACTTTAAAAAAGAAAATATTAGGTATATGGCACAAGATATAAAAATTAAAAGTAAACAGTAACAAATGTGTAAGCAAAACACAAACAAATGAAAAGTGACGAGTGAGAAAACATGCACAAATAAACAAATATAAAAACAAAATTACGTAAAAATACATGCAAGATGAAATCAAAAAAAAAAAATACATGCTACATGTCATCAAAGACAAAGAGCCTAACTTTTCTTTTAAAGCTGGACACAGATAAAGTTTTCAAAGCTTGAGGTACTTTATTGTAGAAATCGGGCGCCACATATGAAAAGCTCTTTCTGAATTGGGTTGTTCGGTGCCGAGGCAAGTCAAGAGTATATCCTACAAAACGCAGGTTCGCTGAGTGATGATCACATCTCATGGTAAGCTTGTTCTTCAAATAAAGAGGCATTTTATTGATTATAATACTGTGGACCAATGATAATACGTTTGATCCATCAATGACTCTGACAACAACTCAAGAGGAATTTCTCGCTAATGTCAGCAACAAACAGCGATTTATAACAATGTTGTCTGGAAAACTCAAGCAGAGTCATATAAACGTCGTGCAAGCAGAGGATGATGCTGATCTTCTCATTATCAATACTGCAATTGGAATGACGAATGAAAATCGAAGTATAATTGTTGGGAATGATGGAGATTTATCGGTCGTATTTACAGCTCTTGTTCCTGAGAATAAAGATATTTATTTTATGAAGCCTGGAAAATCAAACATCGACACAATTATACAGGGTGTCCGCAAAGTTGGGGTTTTCCTTTACACGACGTGTAGATCTTGAAAACATAAGCAATTTTTCTTAGTACCATATACACCAATGTCTTAAGGGAACCGAGATAAAGGGCTCTGCAACATCAAAAATATCTGAATACCGTCCTGTAGCCGCGACCCGCGACATCACCGAGTGGTACAAAGTCACTGGCTCAACCTGACGACAGAACTGGGTCGGGGTCAGTGTGTCAGGTCAGTAGGCCACCTTCAACCGACGGTTACGGTCACGCATGTAGAGGTAATCGCGTAGACGAGAATCCCTCAACAAGCACTAGAGATGTGGCTGGAGAAGTGCAAGTATCAAAAACTAAAGTGTGGCAAACGCTGCGTGAAGAGGGGCTGTATCCGTTTCACGTCCAACGTGTACAAGCCCTTCAACCTGACGATTTTCCAGCATGAGTGCGGTTTTGTGAGTGGTTGTTGCATCAACATGACAATAATCCGGACTTTTTGACGTGCATATTGGTGACAGACGAATCTACGTTCACGCGTAATGGGGTGAATAACTTTCGCAACACTCATGTTTGGTCAGTAGAAAATCCCCACGCTGTCCGTCGGGCATATTTTCAACAAAAATTTTCGGTGAATGTTTGGGCTGGCATGTTGAACGGTATGCTCATTGGACCATTTATTCTCCCAAATCGATTGGACGGGATGCAATACCTAGACTTTTTACGCAACATTTTGCCTTCCTTGTTAGAAGATGTGCCATTAAGTGTAAGACAATCAATGTGGTTTCTGCACACGATGGTGCACCGCCCCATTTTAGACGCGAAGTGCGTGAGTTTTTGAATGAATTATTTCCGAATAGGTGGATCGGACGTAATGGACCCGTAGCGTGGCCTCCGCGATCTCCAGACTTAACACCATGTGATTTTTTTCTTTGGAGAGAAATGAAACGCTTAGTGTACAAAACTGAAGTGCATACAGTTGACGAACTTCGTCTCAGAATTGAACAATCTGGTGCTTTCATTCGGGGGGGACTCCATTCTCAAAGCCTGCACCGATGCTTGGCTACGTCGTGCACGCACCTGTGTTTTTGAATCAAACGGCGATAACTTCGAACAATACCTATAAAGTAAGTTTACCTAAAAACTGAAAACGCGGCAACGCCGTCTTATTTGTTTGGTCTGCACCACCGCCGGCGTCTGCTCGGTAGCGCATGAGCTGATTTCATTTTCTGTTCGAGCGGTATGATTTCGGGCAGAGACGTACTTAGCCCTTCTCGTCAACTGGAGAGTGAGTACTTTTTCACTTTATTTTTTTTTAATTGGTCGCCCTCGTTTCACTACACATTACCTTTGTTATTTCAAGGGTAGTTGTTTCTGAAAAGGAAAACCCCAACTTTGCGGACACCCTGTATATTCTCCAAAAAATGGCGATGCTCACAACACCGTTAAACCACACATTTTATTGTTGCATGCTTTGACTGGATGTGGCACAACATCTGCTCTCTTCAATAAAGGCAAGACAAAGGCCACTAAAATTTTTCAAAAGAGAGCTGACTAGAGATTCAGCAAAAGTATTCAATGAGTAAGGATGTTCTCCAGATACTATTTTCACAAATGGTATGAAACTATTGTTAGCGATATATGGTGCTCCATCGCGCGAAGAATCTCTTGACCATCATCGATATTACTGCTTCGCGAAATCGACAAGGTATCATAAAGTTGTTGAGCTTTCAATGTTGCCACCAAAATCGAGTGCAGCTAAAGCACATTTATGTCGTGGATATTATCAAGTTCAGAAATGGCTTGGAAAGAATTTGAATCCATTGGATTGGGCATCGACTATGACCGACGAATATTTACAGCCAATACAAACTCTATTGCCACCTGCTCCTGCTGTCTTATTAAACACAATCTTTTGTAATTGTACGAAAGGTTGTGGAGCTAATTGCGGATGTAGGAAACTTGGCCTACACTGTTCCGCCATTTGCGGCTACTGTCATGGACAGTCATGTCTGAATATGATCTCGAACAATGAAAAGTCGAATAATGTGGAATTCGATGAGAATATAGACCCCATGAATTTCGTATGCTCAACACTTGAGTCTGGCAAAGACTTAAGCAGCGTTCTCACGAGTCGATTTTTGTTCACACACATAACAAAAATTAATGCGCTAGTTGTTTTTAAAATGGCTGCCAACGAAGTTGTCCAAGCAGGCATAGCAGCTATTTACGAATTATTAAATCAAGAAATCAGAGACATTTTGTCAAAATTTGACAGAAAATCTAGAAAACGTCGGTTTTGGGTCAGGACTTGGATATTGCGAAGACATAAATTGGGCGTTTCAGGAACCCTGTTCAAGGAGCTGGCTTTAGAGGACAAGGATGCCTACAAAAATCATTTGAGAATGTCCGAAGAACAATTTCAAGGACTTCTTCTAAAGATAAAAAGCAAAATACAAAAACAAGATACCATTATGAGAAGATCTATCAGCGCAAGTTGATGATAGTTAAAGCATTGTCTCGAGCATCCTCTCGAGCATGGTATTCCATAAACAGCCATGCTGTTGATATAAATCCAAAAATGTATCACAATACTTTCAGACCACTTCTATCTCATTTTTTGTCTTTTTTCCACACACAACAAGCACTCGAGCCACAAAATCAACTTTATTCAATGCGAAACTCGACTGACTACAGTTCACACGTTTCAAATCTGTTTCAACTTGTCTGAAAATCGCCTATGACGCATTAAATTGATCGATATGTTTTGAATGAACCAAACTTTTTCGGTTCAACTAAAATTGATCAACTAAAATCGAAAACACGGTTCACAAGTGTATTTTTATTCGATTTTTGTTGATCAATAAAAATCGTTCTACTTAGATCGACTCGTGAGAACGCTGCTTTAGATGATGCCGCATCATGTCACATTGATGGCTAAGGAAAAAAGTAACAATAACATCATTTTTCCATCCTATCTTCGTGGATTAGGCCTATTGGGGAATCCACATGCATCTGGTACTTTACCTGTATGGTGACATGGAAAAAAGTACGTTATTTTACAATTTTCTCGATGTTCAACATTGAAAGTAAAGTATCCTTGGAAAAACGATCTCTACGAAAAAATGCATAGAAGGACAGACGCCTAGGGCTCTGGATTTGATATTCGTTAACGACGCCGACTTTGTTTCTAATTTAGATTATTTGCCACCTTTTGGCAAGTCTGACCACTGTTCACTTTTATCTTCTCTCCAGTTCAATATAAATAGTCGTTCTACAACCGATAAGTTTAAAACCATCAAAATTGTAAACCACGATGCTCTTAACCAAGCCCTGTCTGAAGTCAATTGGCCTGCTTTGCTTAACAACCGTAGCACCCAAGATATGTGGGACACTTTCGCTCAACGAGTCCTAAGCGAAACGGCTGACAATACTGTTGAAAAGAAGGTATACTGTGACTTCTCAAAGCCCTGGATCAACTCTAACATATCGAGGATGCTTCGTCACAAGAGATCTTTGTGGCAACGGTTTAGGAGGAGTGGCCATTCACAAGATTACGTGTCTCATCGATCCTTTTCTAACCTCCTATCTAGAACGTTACATAATGCCGAACATGCTTATGAACGAAAACTCGTTACCTCCAAAAATAAGAAGAAGCTGTTTCGGTATCTAAGAACAAACCTGAATTCCAAAGTTTCATCACCTCAGACCCGCGACGCTGACGGTCATCTCCACATGGATGCCACCGAATCTGCCAACTTACTGGCAGAGTCCTTTAGTGATGACTTCGTCGTTGAGCCTAATGGAGACCTTCTACCGACCACTATCTGCCATAGGTATCCCAACAGCCTTTGCGAAGTTGAGTTCCTGCCTGAAGATGTATTAATGCACCTGCGAAATCTGAAGACCTCTTCCTCCCCTGGTAAAGATGGGATGACGGCTGCTGTACTTAAAAACTGCGCTTCAGCACTGGCCCTACCATTAAGCTTGATATTCACATCGTCTTTTAGATCTCATACCCTACCCTCATGCTGGCTTAGCGCTTCTGTTATCCCTGCATTCAAAAAGGGCGACAAATCCTCCGCTAAAAATGATCGACCAATAAGTCTCGTTCCTATCGCCGCCAAAATAGCTGAAAGAATCATATTAGATAAGCTCCTGTTATTTGCTTTCGAAAATGACCTTATCCCTAAGAATCAGCATGGATTTCTCCCTGGTCGATCAATAATGACCAACCTTCTCCACTCTCTCAACGATTGGACTCAGTATCTGGACACAAAGACTCCTGTTGATATAATCTACTTAGATTTTTCTAGGGCTTTCGATCGCGTACCACATAGAAGGCTTCTGTTTAAGTTGGAATGTATGGGAATAAGAGGCGAGTTGTTACTGTGGATTAAGGCTTTTCTCACCGGGAGGACTTTCTCTGTGCGCGTCAGTGATAGCCAGTCTCACCTTCATCATGTAGCAAGTGGAGTTCCTCAAGGCTCTATCTTGGGGCCAGTACTGTTCCTTCTGTATACAAGTGACCTGCCCGCATTGATTTCCTCCACATGTTCAGCTTATGCCGATGGCACCAAGATTTACAATACTGTCGTAAATTCTGCTATGCTTCAACGAGATCTTGATATTGTTTGTCAATGGTCAGTCAGCTGGCTTTTACCCTTAAATCTAACTAAGTGTTGTGTCCTTCACCTCGGGAAGACAAATCCGCGATTTACATACAAGATCTCTGACCACAACATCGAAGCAGTTTCCAGCCACACTGATCTGGGCGTTGTAGTCAACGATCGTCTTTCCTGGTCAGAGCATATTCACCACGTTACATCAAAAGCCAAGAAACTTCTATACATGCTCGAGAGGTCTTTCAAAGGATCCGATGTCAACACTTGCGCCTACATTTACAAGGCATTCGTGAGGCCAATTCTTGAATTCGCTGGCCCGATATGGGACACTGTGCTTCTGCGCGATAGAAATCTCGTCGAATCAGTACAGCGTCGGGCTACTCGTATCCCTTTTGGAGGACGAAGATCACGCTATGAAGATCGCCTTGAATTATTCAACCTGACCTCATTCTCTGAGCGAAGACTTCGAGGCGATCTTATAGTTACGTTCAGGATACTTCATGGTTTGATGGGCACCAACCTCATGCATCTATGCCGTCTGTCGCGCAGCAATCTACGCGGACACAGCTTCAAACTGCATAAGGAGCCATTTAAAACAACAGTCCGACAGTGGTTTCTTCCCAACCGCATATTCAACACCTGGAATAGTTTACCTGAAAGTGTGGTTGGTGCTACTTCAGTTAATAGCTTCAAAGTGCAGTATGATAGCTGGAGGAGTGTACAAACTTTATAGCTATGAACTGTCTTTTTTTATTTTTTTCTATTTGATGTATTTGTGTTACGTGTCCGTACACTATATTTACTGCATGAGCTTATAGTACTGTGTACTCTGCTCATCTCAATTATCATAATAATAATAATAATAATAATAATAATAACCTTTTTTGTGGAGAATTTCATGCTGAACAAAAAAAGTAATTGCTCATTTTATCGTAGAAATGATGATTTCGAGGTTATATGGAAAAACGTGTTTTTTATAACCTTTGACCCCTCCAGAAAAAAAAGCTCCACTTGGATTCATGGGGACTTTTGAGGGATGATTTATATTGGTGAAAGAAGCTCTGGTAAAAAATTCGGCCAGGTGGGATTTTTTCAGCGGAGAAAGTCTAATAATCCTGGACTATAACGAAAGTCTAAAGGATTCCTTGCCAACCCAATATACTGATTGACATATTTCCACAATTCGAACGACTATATCGAACCGTTTCCACTGAAATACTTTTATTTACACTCCCGTCGTTTTATGGCAAGCAGCAGCCATTCAGCAGCAAAGTATAGCAACATTCGATGGTATCAGTCATCGGGCCACGCCACGCACTGTCGTTAGTTCGAAACGAAACCGAAGATAAAAACACCCACTGCTTGACGGCTCATGACGCCAGGATTATTGTAATAACGATCGTACATAAAACCAGAAAGGTTATTTATAGCGATTTGTTTAGATACATCGGTTGTAAACTATCGCCGAGGTTTCAGTAGCGTCAAACGGGCTGTCAATTTACCTTGCAGATGTGCAGCCACCTGTAATTTGCGGGCATAATGAGGCTTGCTACAGGAGTATTCAAACTGCCTTTTAATACCGTCTATATTGGTAGTTCTGCTACTTATGTTTCGTAACCACAGGGATGCTCGAGAGTTGCTCCATCGTTTTCATTAAACGTTTTAACTATGCTGAGTGACAAAAGAAGAATTCAAGAATTTTGTACATATCGATTCATCTTGCCATGAACAACAAGTGATAAAATGATCAAGTTTTTCTGTTATATTCAGGAAGTAGTGGCGCCTCATCTTATTCCATACCTAAACACTATCCAAAACTCGATTATTCAGCAAGACAATGCCAAACCGCATGTTGCCAGTAGCCTTCAAGGATCAACATCGCATCAACCGCTTGCCTTGGCCACAACAATCGCCTGACCTATCTCCAATTGAAAATGTCTGTTACATGATAGGTCGCAGGCTCTTGAATTAGCAAAAATCTTGCACAGACTTTAGTAGCTCTTACTCACGAAGCTGCACTAGCCTGGAATGGGATACCCCAACAGAATATCGACCACCTTATCAGCACGATGCCCAGACGGGTCAATGAGTGTATAAGAAATCGTGGATCCTCAACACATTATTGAACTAGCTTCTGCAGTCAGTTAACGAATCAAGCTGAAATTTAATTATACTAAGTGACATATAAATCCGAACACCCAGTTTAAATGGTTTTATTTTAATAAAATTTTGTATAAGTACTTAATGAAGCATAATAAGTAAATGATAAAAATTTCAAAATGATTGCACTGCTTTAAAGCCCTTTGACCTTTAATAATGTGTGGATGCACGCTGATGTGCTACGCATTCTCCAACGCGTATAGGCATGCTTCTGATCAGGTGGTCAATGTCCTCCTGTGGTATCTCATTCCAGGCAACCACCAACTCCTCTCGAAGTGCTTCTAGAGTCTGAGGAGGACGATGCAAATTGAGCAATCTCCTACCCATCATATCCCACACGTGCTCAATTGGGGATAAGTCGGGAGATCTTGGTGGCCATGGTATCAATGTGACATCATGATGTTGAAAGAAGTCTATTGTGACTCTTGCAACATGTGGTCGGGCATTATCTTGTTGGAAAGTTGGATCTGCCAGGGTGTCAAGATAGGGTAAAAGATGGGGTTCTAGAACTTCGTGGATATAACGCTGCGCGTTCATGTTATCTCTGATGAAGATTAAAGGTGACCTGGAACCATAAGCTATAGCACCCCAAACCATAACTCCAACAGTGTGATGAACATGTCTTTCAACAAAAAAACTGTGGATTCCTCCTTTCACCACGTCGCCTTCTAACCCTGGCTCGACCATCGTGCATGCCTAAACAAAATCGAG